TGATAGCTTTCTTCAGAAGGGAAATTACAGTAGCTGTATTGCCTGGACAGTATGTGTGTGTGTTTCTGCATGTTTCTGCTTGGCTACTGTTCTCTCTGTGTGACCGAGGATACGGATGAATGGTGTCTTCTGTTCATATTTCTCGTAAGAACATGTTTCTCCATGCTTCTTAAGTAGTTTCTTTTAAGGTAATTTTAAACTTGTTTTATCGTTATAATCTGCAAATGAGTTGTAAAGAAAATGCACACATATATATATATATACACAAATCTGTTATTCATTTAATTTTGGAGAAAGAAAGAGCGAAATTAGTGTAATGTTGGGTTTGAAGTTCCTGCAGCGCCGTTAATGAAGAATATTAGCTTGTGATATAACGTCACTTGGCCCGGTAACGTCAATCCACGTTTCGTAGGAAAGTACTGCCTCTCTCTTCAGGGTAGAAAAGTAAGCTTATTTGTCGACTGCTACTCGCTTGGCGTTCGCCTCGGCCCTGAAGATGAAGACAGCTTTCCTTGATTTAACAATCCGAATAATATCTGGCGAGAAGCACAAATCCTGAAGCTTCTCATTCTTCAACTTTCTGTAGCCACCTGCTGCTTCCTCGCCCTTAAGTCCAACTGTTATCCTAAGTATCCTGTTCTTAACCACCCGCAGTCTACGTTTCTCACCCATACAAAACTAACCAGCCAACCGGAGCTGAGCCCTTCTTGAGGAGCCGCCAGTTGTGCAGCCACTCGAGAACTTTCCTGCGTTTCATGAATCCCGAAGATTAATTATCGTGTTCACAAGAGCCCGCAACTGGTCCCTATCCTGAGCCAGATCAATCCAATCCATACCACCCCATCCTTTCTCTCCAAGATCAATTTTAATATTGTCCACCCACTTACGTCTAGGTCTTCTTTGTGGTCTCTTTCCTTCTGGTTTTCCCACAGATATCCTATATGCATTATTTTTCTCCCATTTCGTGCTACATGCTCTGCCCATCTCATCCACCTTGACTTGATCATTCTAATTATACTTGGAGAAGAGTACGGGTTATGAAGCTCCTTATTATGTATTTTTCTGCAGCCTCTTTTCACACCATCAAAACATGGAGCAAAATTATATTTTCCGTGTTTTAATCTCTACGTCTTCTGGTAGCAGACCTAAAGAAGGTACCGAAGTGAATGGTAATAAGCATTCCCAGAATTTAATGTGCTCGTAATTTTTCCATGAATGCGGTTACGAATATCGCTTCGGCTGTCGAGATGCGCCTTTCATTCTGCTTTCAAGCCTTTCAACAGTAAATCGTACTTCATTAATTCTGTAGATTCTAATTCTAAAAACGCCTACTAAGTTGGCTCAGTTCGCCCGTCCGTCTTCACATCTGTGCATAAAGCTGCCCGCTTTAATCTGTATTGACCTCAGATATGGTAACGATCACTTTACATGAGTTTCTGCTTGGTTTTCGGGAATAAGGCGCTCGATATTTATTTTAGTGTAAAATGTTTTGAAAAAATGCTACATAGAAGAAAGGGACACAGATTTTATGTTCAATAGCGTTTCGCCTTAAATCTTGCGGTTTTTGCAAATAATTAAAAGGACATTATGCATAAATCTTTCAATTTTTACATTCAACAATATCTTGGATTATTCGTGTTTTCCGATTATCCATGTGTCACCCGATTTACTCCGCAAAATTAAAAACATGACAGCTTCATGTGATTGTGATGAAATATCAACAGAATTACTCAGGGCTGCATAAGCTACATCATTGTCTATTTGAGTTATATTTCCAATCAATCAATGGTAGGACCTTTCCCAAAATGACTTAAATATTCAGAAAAGAAAGCACGGTGTACAGAAGGTGAAAATCCTGCTGTCCAGCTACAGCCAATTTCATTACAAACAGCATTTTAAAAAATATGGTATCTGAAGAAACTGCATGTAAGAAAGCAGGCGATTTCTTAAACTTGAACAACACCTTTGCAGGTGAGCAATTTGTTTAGGAAGAATCTCTCAATGAGTGCAGTTTTACACGTAAAATGTTACATGGTCTTATAACAAAATGGGTGTTGGTGGAGTATTTTGTGATCTTGCTAAAGTATTGATTGTGGGATTCAATAAATACTGCTATCAAAACTAAGTTCTTATGGAATTCAAGGTATGGCTGGACAAGAGTTTGGATCACACCTTCACAACAGGAAGGAACAAGCAAAACAAAATCAGAGAAATAAAATTTAAAACCTACTCACACTCATATTATTTCACATCCAAGAATTGACTACTTTCAAAATTACACAAATGATGTCTATGCTTACTTGAACAAATTGTTTAGAGCCAATCAACTAACATCAGATCCTGGCAAAACAAATTTCATAAAATGTTTCACTAACAGCAAAATTGTATTATAAATATAGTGTATGATAATACAACAATCAAAGGAGTAGAAACACTTAATACATTGGCCTTCAAATTGACAGTAATTCAATCTGGAAAAAACAAAATGAATATATTATTTCTGAACTCAGTTTATGGTGCTTTGCTTTGAGATGTACTGAGCATAAGTACAAGACCCAGAATCTCTCAGTCTCGGCCACTACCCTCAGTAAATATCAGAAAGGCGTTTACCCTACTGGGATTAAGTTATTCATTTACAGCTCTTTGCTTAAATTTGTATTGGAAGCAAGTACAGTACTTGTATTTTGAAACATTCTTAGGCCTCTGAAGGAACTAACAAACACCATGGAGCCAAGCTTTCCTTGAGAAATCAACATGTCACTGCTCAGGAATTTCCAATGTTTTGTGGAACCTGAAAGCTCGTTGCCAAATTCCTAAGAGCCTGACACCAGTCCCTTTGGCCAGATAAATCCAGTCCATACCACGCCATCTTATTTTTCTAACATTCATGCATTTTACATGCCCTACCCACCTCACCCTCCATGACTTGTTCATTCTAATTACATTTGGGAAAGAGTACAAATTATGAAGCTCACCATTATGCAATTTTCTTCAACCTCCTATTGCATCCCTCTTCAGTCCAAATCTTCTCCTTGGCACACTGTTCTCAAACATTGTTAGTCCATGTGCTTCCCTGTCAGAAACCTGGTTTCACACCCATACGAAACTATAGGGGCAAAATTATAGTTTTGTATGTTTTAAAACTTACATTTTTAGACACCATACAAGAAGACAAAAGTTTCTTCAGGGAAAGCTAGCAAGTATTACCTACATTCAGTCTCCTCTTTATTTCCTCCTGATTAATTTTTATTCATTACTGTTATTTTCAAATGATATCTTAGTTATTATGTTGTGATCTTGCCATGTATTCTGGTGATGAGACATTAACACATATAGGGGTTGGACAAAATAATATAAACACTACAGATACTCTACACATTTCTTTATTAATATGGAGTTGGGCCATGTTTTGCTTTCAGTACAGCTATAATCCTTCTTGGAATGTACTCATGCAAGTTTTGAACAGTCTCTAATGGAATTGTATACAATTTTTCTTGAAAAATATCTTCAAGTTGCTTTAGAGATGTTAGAGGTGGGAACCTGTACCTCACTATAGTCCCCGAAACTGACCAGAGTGTTTCAGTGATGCTCAAATTTGGTGATTGTGCTGGCAAGGAAAGGCTGAACTCCACTTTCATGCTCTTCAAACAATGACCGAACGGTTCCAGCTATGTGTATGGGGGAATTGTTGTCTTGGAAAACTGCATCATTGTTTGGAAATGTCAGCATTGTGGAATGCGCCTGATCACCCAGCCTCTCCATGTATTCCCTTGCAATAATTCAGCCATGAAGGGTAATAATGAGACAAACAGAATACCATGATATTGCTGCCCAAACCATCACAAAACGTCATCCATGTTTCACTGTTTGAATCAGGCATTCTAGATTATAGGCTTCCTTTGGTGTTCTCCAAATGTAAACTCTTCCTGACATAGGGAACAGTGGGAAGGATGACAAATCTGACCATATCACATGAGCATTTCCAGTTGTCTGATGTCCAGGTTTTGTGGTTGTGACACCATCGTTTACACATCTGAACATTAACTTCAGTAATGAGAGGTTTAACAATCTCAGCCCTACCATAAATACTGGTTCTGTGAAGCTCACCTAGGGAAGTTTTTGTGGAAGCAAGGTCTTCAAGATGAATACTCAGGTCTGCTGTCATCTGTGCTGCCGTACTTCTGTGATTATTTTAAACAACTCTTCTCCATGCACGACGATTTCTTTATGCCAGTGTTGGTTTTTGACCACTGTTGCTCTTGACTAATGTTGTCTTCCCATGATCCCTGTATGCCGACATAACCTTAGAAACTGTTGTTCTCAATACACTGAATAATGTAGCAGATTTTGTCATAGATTTTGCAAGTAAACTCGCACCAACGAACTTCCCCCTTTTTAAATCAGGCAAATCCCCAATTTTCCGATTCTTTCAATGGGCTGGCAATCAACACAGACACAAATGAACTTACACGAGCACTACAAAGTGTAAACAAACGGAAACAATTCAATGTTGCCAATTGATGTTCATTCATTGTAGCCAACACAAATTCTAGTCCTCAATTTCTTAGTATTTCTATTATTTAGCCCACCCCCTGTAAGTGCTTTTCTTCTCGACCAATCTCCTTGACCAGCAGTAGCTAGAGCGTGAAAACGTGAAGATACAGGTATTCTACACTCGGCTGTGAAATATACGTCTATTATGTGACAGCAGGAATATCTTTCAGAAAACGGGATAGCGCAGTCGGTATTGGGACTAGCTATCGACGTTATCGACTGTGTGACCGTGGGTATGAAGTTGGAGTCCCGGAAGAGTAAAAGAAATTTCCCACGTCGACCACACAGACACTGGGACCCATCTGGCCTCCTATCCAAAGGATACCGGGGCTCTTTCCCCGGGGGGTAAAGCGGCTGGGGCGTGAAGCTGACCATCTCCAGCTAGTGCCGAGGTTAAGAAAACATGAATCTGTACATCCACTCCCCCGTACACCTTAATGATGTGGTTCTTAATTTGTTAAGCACAGGGACGACTCTACCTTTTTCCTTACTGTATTTCTACAAATACAGTGCTTCATAATTCCGTAATTCATAAATGTGTATCAACAATTTCTGAAAGGTTTGAGGTGGACAGAAAATGGCGAAATGACTATGTGCGAATATCATCTGTGCATGTATACATGAAACTATGAACTGATCGGAGAGCTCAGAGAGTATGCCATATAACAGATGAGACGATCGCGCCATTTGCAATGGCAAAGGTAAGTTTTGCTTCTATCAAGTGTTAAATTTGTGTTAAGTCTCTTAGTGGATCCAGATTAATTGTATTTTATATCGTCGTTATAAGGTATTTTAGTAGCGTTGAAAATTGTTGAGTTCACGTCTTTGTAATAGTGACACATGTAACATCTGTGCATCGAATGTGACCTACGCTGTGTGTTGATTTTTACGTTGATAAGTTTTAGTGATTTTGACGAATTCCAGCATTTTTTGTATGAACGCTTTGGCGATTGGCATAGGTTAATGAATAATAATATTTCGTATACAGTTGTCTAAAGTACGAAATGCTACTTCTATATGACAATTCTGCAGCCAAGTCCAGTGGTGCTGGAGAAGAAAAAAAGAACCAAGTCCAAGGACACAAAAATGACAATTGTATTGCAGCGGTAGTAAGGGCTGTGCAGTACTAATAATCACGCAGTTGCTAAATGATGATATTTCTCATTTTAAGGTCGAGTCTGCAACAGTGAAAGCTTGAACTCTTGATTAATTAGCAACACAATAAGGTACACAAGCATTCAGAGTAGCCAAATCAGTCATTTGAACATGGAAATGGAGTCCAGTGATGAAAATGAACTAGGCCTATTTGGAGATGGGTTTAGGGGAAGTAGCCCTGGCCCTTTAGAAGAATCTAGTCCATCTGAAAACCAGGATCAAATATGTAGTATCTGCAGGTGAGATAAATTATAATATTTACAAACTTTTATTTTTGCATTTCAAGTGACTGTATACACTGGAAATACATACCTCAGTGTGAAACATATTCAATGCTTTTTCGTCCCTGTAGGATGTGTCAAAGTAAAATAATGCAATTTTGTACACCTTGCAATGTTTTGTGGAGACTGATAACACGAATTGTCCCTTTCGAATCGTCATGTTGAAGGGTTAGTGTTGATCATTTTGTCCTTGAGGAATCTGTACAGGAAAGGTCACAATGGTTTAAATCTGGTGACAAAGGTAGTATTGATTGTATTATGCTTCGCACCAGCTTGCTCGGACCAGACCTTTTTGATATCAATGCTGTAATGAATGAAAATAAAAGAAAGTCATTCAGCAAAACATTCAGGTAAACCTGAGAATGGACGCAATAAGGAGATGCAGATCTTCCAGGACTAGAATTTGCACAAGTTAGTGTGACCCCTTAAGGAAATAAGGGAATGTTGGTAGCAACCTTTGGAATTTGTGAAGCCAAGCAGTAGGCATTCTGTTTGTTTACATAGCCATTTACAGTAGATTCTTGATTATGTGCTGTGTGGATCGAATGTGAGGCTTTCAGAATTGCGTAATATTGTTTATGACTTCCCATGCTGATTTAAATGTTCACAATTACATCTCTTAAGTAATATGTATCAGAGATAGATCAGTGTGCCAACTGTGTAACAGTTTACATGCAACTGTATACACAGCTGATGATAGTCCTTGTGATACCGAAACATGTTGTGTAGTAGTGGAAGAAGAACATGAAATATGAATGGTTAAATTAGGTACCGCAAAGAAAGCTTCATTGAAGAATGTGTTTTGTGTATATAAAAAAATTCTAAAGGATTCTGATGATGTTGTATAACACTCAGGATTACTGGGTTTTTGGACTTTGTCTGTCACCTGGTATTCAAAAAATGCATTTCAGAAACTGAATCTCTTTCCACCCTTAGGTGAGGGGTGCTTGACAGCCACTCTGTTGCATCTGTTAGAAAGAGCTGACCCCATTCACTGGACAGCCTTTATAAGTATAACTACAGTTGCATAAACACCAGAATAGTTCATATGTATAGAAAATTGTTATAACATTATGAACATTTTCAACATAAACATTCTCTTAGGAGTTCACTCATGGAAAGCAGGCTGGAAAGAGATCCGTGGCAGACAGCAAAGTATGTTTGTAGCATACCCTATGAATGTGGGAGGAACTACATTGTTGAAACAGACCTCTAGCCGTGTGGCTCCTGAATATAGCACATTCTCAAAGAGGTATTCTGGAAAAATCAAAATTAGCACCATGCCTCAGCACACAATGAAAAGAGTAACAGCCTAACAACATACAGATTCCTAACCAATTATAATAAAAAAAGGGGGAGGGGAACACAGCCTGGACCTCTAAGGACGGAAATATCTTCCCCAATCTCCCGTTGATAGAAAAGTTATGAAGACACAAATCTTAACGGTTTAAGATTTTAAATATTAAGAATTTTAACAATTTTTAATCCAACCACATTTTATCTTAATTATAATCTTTATATAAAACTTTGAATCAACTTGATGTACTATGATCAATGTAAAAGTAGTTTCTTCAACATGTTGTGTCTTCTGAGGATGGTCGTTTACTGACCGAAACATGTGAGGGCATTCATATAAATTTACATCTGAGTTACACTGGACGATGTCAGATCATTCTATGATAGTGTGATGGACCAGAATGAATAAAGTTATGCTTTATTCTCATTCTTATTAAATTGTTCTCGCCCTCATTTCTTTCCCATTCTCATCTTAGTTAGTTAATTATTTAGAGAGGGTGGGTTTCCTCATGCACCGCGACCAGTTTGATCTATTGTGCTTCCCTCTATGATATTCTACCAGTCTACCCTACCGATAAATGGTGCGTACCATCAGTCCCGCCGAGCAAGCGAGTTCGGCCACTTGCTTAGCGGTGTCTATAATGCCTCCCCCATCTATCAGAGGCCATAGAGGCTATTGTTGGGTGGGAAACATCCTGGAAGTTGGCTCAGTGATCTCCTTTGGGGATATGAGGTTCTTTTACGTGCTGTAAAGTTACGACATGGGACACACAGCTTAAAGTCCCTCCCGGAGGACTTGTTCCCTGAATTTTTCCACCCTTAAAAATTTGACGACTTCTGCCGGATATTTGAACCCGCGTACCACGAGTCATGAGATGGGAACATTACCTCTAGACTATGGAGGCCGCTCATTCTCATCTTACTTAAAATGATTTCATCTGTAGGAAAAAATTCTTGAAATTAATAATTTTCCTAACAGTCACATCTTCATTACAGTGTAGCAGTTTCTTGGTTTTACATTCAACCTTCCGACTGCATTTTGATCACCGTCTAAAATGATATGTTTATCATCTTATGGTTTGCCTTACATTTTTTCCTCGTGTCAGTACTGGTACTGTGACGACAGCCACTTCTGGTGCATGTGCATAATCTCTATAAACATATTCTGTTGTCTGTAAATATGTAAAATAAGTATGGACTTCAGCTGCCACACAGTGTCACAGCCATTGCTAGGTGTTTTAATTTGGTCACACTGTTCATGCCATATCTCACACAAAGTTAAACATTCCACTGCAGCGTATAGTACAATGTATCATTCTACTTCATCATCGTAGGATAACTCGTTCAGTCCATTGAATCAGGTGCCCTTTTAAAATCAATGAAAATGCCAACACATTTTTCCTTTCTTAAATAATTGTCAACTTTAGTCATAATTAAAATAATTATTTGTTGATCTCTAGTCTCTGACACTTTAACACAGAAATTGCAATAAGCCTCCATTTCTTTATTTTCAATTTAGAATTGATTGTCACTTCTCTTGGCTCATCTGGCCTGCCAGCAGTTTTGTTAGAAGCAGAGTTCCACCACATGCCAAGTTTCAGATTTCTTCACATCTGTTTCCTCTCAAATTTTTTTCAGAATTGCCAAAATTCAGTCAGATTTTGCCCTGTCGAATTTGGGGCCTGGATTTTCCTCTAGTCCCTCAGTTACATTAACCACTGCCAGAGGTCACATTTTCACTCTTGTTTCTCCAAGCCCTTCTATTGCTATTTAATTTTACCTCATATTTTACCATAAAATTTTGAGTTGGTTTAACAGTAACACTCTAGACTTGTGTTTGGGAGTCATTCAGAATCTTGGTCAGGACATGGGTTATCCTGACTAAAGTGTTGCTCTAGTCATGCTGGAATTTTACCTCAAATTAGTCGATCACTGCTTCCTTCCTGACTATTTAGTATTCATCAGTCCTACCGTTCAGTGCCGTAGTCTTGATACTGACAACAACATAAAACAACGAACATAAATATGTTATCATAAATCTGCAAAATCGTGTGAGGTAAATCTGTACTGACATCCATCAGCTTTCACAGCTTAGAAGGGTGGTGAGGTACTATGAAGAAAGACATCTGCTGTCTACCACCACTGCTGTACAAGTCTTAGGAAAATATTGTGTAGTTTACCGTGCTGGTCTATGTTTGAGTAAGTTGCATTGTTCAGTTTCTCTGTTTTTCATTTTGAGATCGATGGACAACGTGAAGTTGTATACACTGCTGTGAGATAGGATTGAGTTATTTTTTTTCTCTCTGAATTTAGCAAAAAGTACTGCTGTCCACGTGTGTTATCATGTCTGCATGTCTTCTGTGAATCTTGCCTGGAGAAGATGCTTGTGGAGGAAATAGGAGAATCTGTAAAAAGAGACTTCACAATCAAATGCCCAAAGTGTAAACAGGAGACAAAGGTATGCACCTTATTTCACAGTTACTTCCATTGGAACTTTGGTTTTTAACTGTGTAGCCCGTGCTGTGTAGGATACTGTGTATCAATAGTGTGAACATGTGTTCAGTTATTTTATTCATTGAAATTCTATTTGTCACATATGTAATTACATGACATAGTGACACACAGCCCTGTAATAGTTCCTAACATTCTAAATTTGTTCAGCCATGGAGTAAGCCAGGAAGTATTTCAAAATACACATATATTCACTCTTGTAGCAGTCACTTGTATAAACACACGTTTTTGTTGACATGTTCAGTTATATCAGTCAGGAGTATTTTTACCATTTTAATTGCATTTCATTAATTTACTACATGGAAAACATTATTTTTTTCACAAGAGGCTGGCATTGCATCATAATGGCTTTTGATCTTAAAAAAGTTGTCACATAAAAACTCCAGCAATGTCAAAAGTATTTTGACCCAATTTTTTTTATGTTATTCAGGGACTGAATTGAACTAATTAATACCCTGGGATTTAAATTATACAGGATGTTTCACGACTTTAGGGCATAACTGCAGGAGGTGATTTCCTAGGTTTTTGTGATCAAAAAAGTTCACATAAACATGTGTCCGATTTTGGACGGTTACGGAGTTATGACCGTTTTAAACTCAGAATAGAAGGTAACGATTACTGACAATAAACGGAACAAAATAATAAACCAGCATAATACATGATACATTTAAAGTATGAATGTAAAGTTAACTTAGTGAAAGTACCTTTAATTTGAATTGATTGGTGCTTAAAGCTGATTTTCGAAAATGCCACCGCCGGCCGCAACACAGGCTGCTGCTCGGTTGTGAACTGCGCCAGACATACCAACCCTCCCAGCCTTAGGTAGCTCTCATGTGTCGAGATAACGAGAACGCTCTGTCTGTAGCTGGCTAAAAATAGCGACCCGACAGCTGACAGACGCAGTTCACAGAGGGCGTGTACGGGAATGAAAAAACGGTCATAACTCTGTAACCATCCAAAATCGGACACATGTTTATATGAACTTTTTTGAACACAAAGACCTAGGAAATCACCTCCTGCAGTTATGCCCTAAAGTCGTGAAACACCCTGTCCTGTATTTGCTAATTTGATAACATGAGAGTTTCAGTTCTCATACCTCGTAATGCAAAGAGAAAAGTAGAAATCTGTTAATTGTAGTTCATTTACTAATTCACTTACCCCTGTTAAACTGGTTACACTTGGTGGTCTACAGTTTATTTCTGTCAGTTTAAAAGTGTTGGGCTTAGGGTACTGATGTGACACATATTTCTTATTGGAGTAGTGTTGAGTGTGTATTATGTATGTGCATGCTCAGTCTTTGATTTCTGTATATTCCATCAGTTTCATAACTTCTGCTATTTAGTGTGCTTCTACCTGCTTTAAGCCTCTTCCTTCTCCTCTGGGGACATCTGATGATCAGTATCTTTTTATTTGAAGGTCTTCCTTTAACATATTTCTGCACATATGCCGCTCTGTATATTCTCCTGAGATTTTGTTCTCATAGTGTTCTTCATTAGATCCCAAATTGTCGTCGTCATCAATGATGACGAACCCATCATTATTATCATCATTATCTCATCATTATTCAACATCTCTGGTTATAATGATAATGACCTACTTGAGGCCCCAGTATCCTCTTCCTATTCTTCCATCAACTGTTCTGTCTCTGACCCCTTCTGCCATTTATCCTGTATAACTTGCCCCTTTCTCAGTGTTACTCTTTCCTGTCTGAAAACTGAACCAGTGTGTTCCTCTGAAATGTTGTGACCCTACTAGACTACATGGTATCATAACCCAGAAAATCACAGTATAGTTCAGTGTAGTTATCTGAGAAGTAGTCTGTCTGGAATAGGGTCCACTCACCCTCGTGAGGATAATTGAGGAGCTATTTCAAGGAAATAGCGGCTCTAGTCTAGGAAACCGAGATTAATTCCTGTGGGGATCAGTTGCTCTGACCATGTAACACCCTCTATCCGCAAAAGTTGGCACTGACTTTGCCGACAAGCCATGGTTGCTCGGTCACTATAGTTCACTTGCATACTACATGCCATAAGAGTTTTTCTTTTTCAGAATTCAGTGTGGAATAGAACTCTGATGACGATTTATGTTTTTTTCATGTGAAGGCAATTGTGTGGCGAGTATGTTTGATGATGGAATGTAACTTTTACACTTTTTGAAACAAATAATTTTTGTGTTAGTGACATGTTAGTATTATGCTTCATGACATTTGAATATTGAGACCGAAAGTTGTATGCTGCAGGTGGGTAATAAGGGAGTTGTTTCCCTGCCATGTGATTATGTCCTCACCAATATTCTCGATATGTCGGCCATTGAGAGTATGGCAGTTCTGTGCACTAGTTGCAAGGCGAAGGAGAAGGCTGTGGCACGCTGCTCTGATTGTGCTAATTTCCTGTGTCCAAACTGCAACTCAGCGCATCAGGTAAGCTGGCTACATATATAAGTTGTGTTTTTCACTTAAGAATGAGAAACTCTTACACAGATAATGTGTTGTACACTGTCCGTCATCCAGGATGCACTGTAAACATACCTCAGGTGATGTACATTCTCCAGTGTAATACAGTGAAATCCATGTTTATCAAATCAGAGGAATGGGGTTTCTGACACTAAACGGGGTTTCACCAAATGAAGGTTATGCAAAAATTGCATCTAACTACAGATGCTATCTTCTTTGCTAGTTGTAAGGTTCTTACTCTTCATAGATGCCATAACTAACAGTAAACAAAAATGGTATTATGTAAGATTTGAGGTTTTCACGGCAGAGACTATGAAGAAAGCAGTCTTCTGGAATGTGGTGCCGTGTAGCTATTGGTATTGATGAAATTCAAAAACTCACATGCAAACACACACAGAACATTCATTGAAGATATGGCTGCAACGACAATTGATGACAAAGAGAATAATGGTTATTTCAACTGCAATCACATTAAATTGTCTTGTGAAGATCAAACATTGCTTGTTATAAGTGTGGGTTATTTACTAAATCAAAACTCACCAAATGCAGAATAGAAAAACATAATTTATTTCTGACTTTGGCTAGAACTGCAAAAAATATGCACAAAATATACAATTCCACCAAATGTGGGGCCACTAAATCGGTATTTTACTCTATCTGTGTAATGAATAGACCGTTTTCACAAACCTGTACAGGACCATTTAGTGTTTTCCTTAAATATTATTTATTATGCTCAGCTTGCTGCTTGCTTGTTTTGCATTTGGCTGACTTTTTATCCTGAAGATGGAGGTAGTATGTTCCTCTGAAATGTTGGGTAACGTTTACCTACCTGTGAGACCATGTAGTCTCATGGTGTCACACCCTGGAATGTAGTACTGTTCAAGTTTTGGATTTTCTGCACTAAAAACATTTGGAATCATATTGTGACTTATGGACAGGGCCTAATACTGGCTTTAAATTAATTGGCATTTAAAATTATTTTTTGTGGAACGGAGAAGGATTTACTCCGGTCTAGTTGAATGACCCTAATAGAATATTATTAAATATGTTAAAATATGTTTTCCTGAAAACTTATGATAGTGAATTTTCTCAATACTGTACTAGTGTGTGTGCTTTTTTAACTTGGAAATTTTGACACTGTTAGTCTTGAGACTGTAGTATTGTTTACACTTTTTGGATGTGGGCAGTGTTGCTGACAGAGGGGACATGCTATGTGTGAAACTCTAGCAACACTGCCCAAATTCATGTATTGTAAACGACCAAGAGGTGAAGTAACATCAACAGCCACAATGAAAACCTGAAATCAGTAATAGCTGAATATTCTTTTACGAGCACATTATGACAGCAGACAGGCTGCACACAGCCTTGCAGGCTGTAGCTTGGTGACGTTCTCATTCAGTAGGGATTTTTTTTCACCATAAATCTCGGAGATGTACCAAAGATGGGAGAATTTTCTTTAATGTCTTGCTTGCCAGCTAGGTGTGTATGTTCAGAATGTGTAAAGTTCCTCTTCTCTTCTAATGTCTGTACTTTCAAACTTTGTTTTTTTTTCCTGTGATCTACTATTCTTCTGACTGGTGGTGATATTATCCAGATATGTTATGTAAATAATTTAGTTCTGAATCTTATTTACAGAGTGTAGCAGTTGATTTGGAACATTATGTTATCTTCAGGACAAGATGAATAACCATGCTTAATTTACAATGTAAAGAGTTCTAAAGCAGCTGCAAGATTCCAACAGTTTACATCATTGACCAAAGTATATGTATTATTTTATCAGTTGTTTGTAATGGATTGATTTGTTTGTTTTTTTTTTTCGCCCAGTTTATGCGCTGCTTTGAAAATCACCATGTTGTAACTTTTGAAGAATTAAATAACTCCCATGAAGCAGTCCCAATTCATAAGCCAATCTTCTGTGACATTCATCCTGCAGAAAGTATGAAATTCTTCTGTTTATCTTGCCAGGTAAATTACATATAATATTCATGGTATTTCAGCATCTTTCAAATAAATATCCAGGAAATGTCTTCGGTGAGACATTTATCAAAATGCTACATACGTGGTCTGACATTAATGTTCACAAACTTGTCGCAGTAAAAGTGCTACATACCTCATTGCTGAATTTCACTGTGGTCGCCTTGAAAGCACTCCCCTTGGGAAGCTATGCACTGATGCCATTGCCTAGTCCGCCCTTGAAAACAATTTTGAAACTGGTTTTGTGGACTGGCCTTCACAGCTGCTGTCATATTACTCCTGATGTCATCAATATCATCAAAATGCCTTCCTTTCAGTATTTCCTTTATCATGATCATGATAATCCCTTCAGTTTGAGAACTGAAGTTATTTTGGAGAAAGAAAATATCACAGAGGGATATATCTGGGAAGTGTGAAGGTTGGAAGTGTGTAGTGGTACATTCTGTGGCCAGAAATTCATAAGACAGTCAGCAGGGCGAACAGAAGCATTGTACTATAGAGAAAGCAGTGTCCAGTTTGACATTTCCTGCATGTCTCTGTTGAGATGCTGCAGACTACCTTAGCAGGAATGTTTATCCCAATGGGTAAGTTAACTGACTTTTGGAACAGTGTGCATAGAAGCTTCAGCCTAAAATAGGACTAAACCCTACCCAAAAAGTCCTTTTCAGGTATCCTCTTTTACACTACTGTTTATATATATATATACAGGGTGTCCCAGGAGGAATGGGCCAAATTTCAGGAGGATGTTCCTTATGTTAAAGTATGCCAATATAACCCGAAACACCTATGTCCAAAGTTGAACGGTTACGGAGATAATGGCCAGAGAAGTGTCAAACTTTGACCGGTGTTACACACTTGTTGATTTCAAAATACATATTAAAACTAGCAGGAATATGTGGATTCTGTAATGTTAATAATGTATGTAATATCACACTAACTTGTGAGTGACATGAAGCCATAAAATTGAAGTACGAAATACTCGCTCGCCATGTCATAATTGTCCTTAGGGTTTCCAAGCACTATACATGATACATGACTGGCGAGCGATGACGTAATATGGCTGCATTATAAGCCGACCACATAACTGTATTGAACGTACATTCACGGAAAATCTCTTTTGGAATTTCGTTTCCATTATC